GACGTTTGCTATTGGAATGCAAACCATTTTGAATTCGAAAATTTATGTGATTTTATTTATTTATCCGGTGACTGGCCAATAAATAAACGAGATGCCGATCAGAGACCGCCGACTTATCGATCTAGCGGCGTGTATTCTGCTCTGACTCAATAGCGACACCGCGTGTCACATCACTAATTAATCAATAACTCTCCAATTATACGACATATTTCATCAAAAATCAATAGGCTCCTGGTCCGAAATATGATAGATGCACGTGCAAAATTGAGCAGATTCAAGCTCGTTTTCGTGAGATATCGCGTAACATGAGAAAGTGTCTAACAGACAGACAAACAAACAGACAAATACCTATCAACATACTTACCGATCAAGATCAATAAGTAATAATATATATAAAAAGTTCTTGAAAGGTAGAAAAAACAAAAACAAGAGTTGTTTTGACGTAATTACCACCGGAAGAAAAATATATGTTGTTCCCATGCCATTGCATAGGACTTTTTCCATTGAAATGAAAAGGATGATAAGACGCATTTCAAATAAGTAATCATTGGTGGAATATTTTTTCATGATACTGAAAATACACATCGAACATACGAATCGAAATTTGCATAAGTGGGTGGAGGGTGACGCTAGAAAAAGGTGCTCTCGAAGTATGTGCGCCATCTTGGGGCACAGACTTCTGGAGCGCCAGAAAAAATACATGGAGCAGTTAAAACTAAAGGCATGCTTCTCGTTTATAAATGCAATTCCTGAAAAAATTTAGAGCTTTTTCAATGACTTCGTTGAAAAATACAGCCAAAAATTTGACTCAGAGATAATTCTGCCCATTTCGATTTCAAGAGAGATTGTCCATTCCATCGCTATTGTAACGGGGAAACCCCAGGTTTTTACTAGAGGTGTCCAGGGGTTCCACAACTTTACATACAATTGCGAAAGTCTTTATCACTGTATATATATTGTCTAAATATAATCAATGTATTGGATTTGCCACTATCATTAGACTTGAAATAATTTCGAAGATCATTTCGCTTTGCCAGTATATAATTTAGTTTTAAATACATTTATATACAATTCAAACAGTAAAGTGGGCCACGGAGGGGAGTTCCTTGGGCACCTGGAATGTTTTTTTATTGGTGTTCTGATCCACTGGTGTAACTATTCGCAAATTAGGTGACCGTACATTTGAACCCATACATTTGCATCCGTATATCCGCGGGTTCAATCTATATGCGGGTGCTAAAATCCATGGGTTAGGGTTAGTATGGGTTCAAATATCCGCAAAAAAAAAATTCCATAGGTGCAATTGTCGTGGGTTCAAATTACGGGTTCAAATGTAATTGAACCGCAAATTACGTTTATCCGGTATTCGATCTTCTTTCGTATATTCTCTCTTTCCTCATGAAAAAAGAAATTGCAAACTTTTTCAATGCATTTGTCACAAAATTATTATTGGCTGCTCAACATAGTTGCGACATATTACGCAACCTCGTCTTAGTTTTCACTTCTAATTGTATTGTGTTATTTGAGACTTCGGAAACTTCAATGTCAGTAATTCATTCTGGGTAATTTCCTGAGAAACCGCAAACGAAGTACAATCCATAAATAAACCATTTTGTATAAAAAAAACTTGTAAAATCACGTTGGATTTTCAATTTTACTGATATTCGTTTGGATCTGCTTGTGTTAGGAATACTGACTTTGCCAAGACGAAACAATACAACACTTGTGTAAATGGAGTCCGAAGACAAGTTCTGTTAATCAGTCACATTATAGATAGGGCTGGGCATTTTCGAATACCTTGTGATATCAGAAGCGAATCGAATAATTTGTTCCAATCGAATCTCGAATACTTAGAAATACATAATTGTAAGCGACTTTTTTATAGTAATTGGTATTCTTAACAAATAAATTACTGAAGAAATGGAATACATCACTCAGATAGATTACTACGCGTTCACACCTAATAACAAACACGTTTTATCAATAACTCACTACAGAAAATAGTCATATGTTAGAATCGCGTTGAAAAAATATGGCTTCAATGAAAAAAAAATTTGAGAATTCATTCTCAATTTCGAATCGAATATTCGAATCGAATAGTAAACCATTCGAATCGATTCAGACGGGAATTTCGAATCCCCGCCATCTTGTTTTTATCTTTCCGCTAATGGTCGAGGTGAATTCCCCAATTTTTTTTTCATTGGAGTCGTATTTTTTCTACGAAATTCTAACATATGACTATTTTCTGTAAAGAGTTATTGATAAAACGTGTTTGTTATTCTGTGTGAACGCTCAGTAATCTATCTGAGTGATTTATTCTATGTCTTCAGTAATTCATTTGTTGAGAGGATCAATTACTGTAATAAAGTCGCTTACAATTTTATATTTTCAAGTATTCCAGATTCGATTCGAAAAAATTATTCGATTCGATTCTGAAATCACAAGGTATTCGAAAATGCCCAGCCCTAATTGTTAGCAGTGTTAAAACAACACACATGAAGTAAAGTTATTTAACAGCGTATATTAGATCAGTGTTTCGCAACCTTTGGTGTCACGATCACGGCCCAAATTTGGGTCGCCTGTTATTTCAACAAAAACCTAAAAGTTATTGATAATATTTCCTAGTTGATTTTATGGTTCATTTTATGTTTGTGTTGAAGTGTTGCTCATTTATAGAGTGTCCATAAAGTCTCAAAAAATTTTAAAATTGCAAAAGGAATTTATCGAACCATATATTGTTTTGGCCCTCACAGATGTATTAAATGAAGTACAAATACTTGAACAATTACTGATTAAAAAATGACAAACTTGGTTAAGATATATTGAAAACTGACTTCATAACAAAATAGAAATTGTAAAGGGACTTTACAGACACCCTGTAATGGTTTGGAAGTTGACGAAGTCGAGACCACCAGTCATGTTTTTTGTATTGTATTATATAATATGCAATTTTAAGTGTATTTTTTGTGTAATCAATTATAATGTATTTTTTAGGATTTTGTGTAAATAAACTTCGGCAGTTGTATGATGATTGCATTTTAGGATTTCGAGCGGGAATGAAGAACCTCAACAACAACTAATAAGCTTAATATATTCAATCATATCCGGCTTACAAGTCCATGTCAGGTATAGGATTAGGTGGCCAGTTATATTTGTTTTCAGATACATAGACTTAATGCTGGAGGAAGACTTAACCAGTGTTCATGTGCACCACCATATGACGGCGAGGAATTCAGCAATCCTCTCGCACATAATAACCAGTGGTGGGATTCAATATTTTCGTCAGCCGGTTCCATCACAAAAGTCATATTTTTCACCCGGTTCTGTTACAAAAAGTCATTGACAGTAACTAGTAATGCTATTTGGTTTGCTGATCTTGTAAAATTCCGTGACGGTTCTATAGAACCGGTGTAAACCGGCTGAATCCCACCACGGATGCTAACCCACTCAAGAGTAAAAAGAGGTTTCTGATCCATGTGATTTGAACCCTTGCAGAGTAATCAGGAGTGCGATTGTATACTTTTTCATCATGCTTACTAAGCAAAATAGTTCTCAAACTTCGTTGTATTGTGAGGCCCTCCAAAAATTATTCTCAAGTTGCGACTCCCTGTGAAGATGTCTCGATATCTTTAATTGGAGGGCCTTTTTTGCAACGAGTTTTGTTTAATCGAACAAACAAAACTCATAAATACTATGTCACAAAGGGAATGAGAGTGCACAAGGGATTTTTAATCAAGGAAAGATAATCTTTATCCAAGGAAATCCAAAAGCTACTTGCGAATCGAATCCTCTTTTTTGAAGTTCTTGTACAATTTTTATGCTTTCACATTACTGCAGTACAATTCAATATTTAGACTTTTTCTACCCACTGCAAAACAAGTACAATTCCGCAAAAAAAAAGCTTTGCGAGGCCCTGGCAAAATTGAAACGCCCACTTTGAGAACCACGGGCTTAGCATGATTGCAGTCGCTGAACACAGATCAGGACAAAACTGTTAATTGTTTGTTCAAAGGCAAACAAACTTTTTCATATTAACTCATGGAAAGTCTGGCAAAAAGTTTGATCAAATTGAACTTGAGTTTTTCATCATATTTAAGAGAATCAATTTAGACATTCCTGTGGTTGGGCACAGACAGTTACTTTGGCTGAAAACATTTCTATCAAGTTGAAAGTTAGAAATTTTATATCACAGCCCATTCCGAAAGTGAGCGCTTTAACCATTGCTATATTGTAATGAGTGCTGCTAATCATCAAATTAATAAAGAAACACATATATGATGCTTGATTACCAGCTTTGGCAGTTCAAACTATTTCAGAAATCTACTTTAAGGCATTGGAAGCACTATTTAGCTGATCTATTCAGTACTCCTTGAAGCCGATACCATGCTTTATTGATAGAAAGACTATGCTATACTTTTGATATAAGCGCAATTGGATATTTCAGATAACTGGCCCATAAGGATTCGATGCTCCAAAAGTATGCGTGCCAAGATGTCGCACAGCCTGAATCCTAACCGGTACACACATACTCTGTCCAGGTTGCGCGCCATCTTGGTGTGCATACTTCCGGAGGTCCAGAGATTCTGATCTGCAATTACACCAAGGTAATAAATACACAATACTACAGCAAACTAACAATCATTGCCCCAAACCCTTACTAGACCAATGGTTCCAAAACTTTTTAATATTGTTACCCCTAAATCAAATTGCTAAAAGCACAATTACTCCTGATCTAAAAATACAGGGGTCATACCGTTAACTATTTTGACCCAATATGGCAATACTACTATCACCCATTGCATCTTTTGTTAACTACTAGTAATTGGAGAACAACTAACCCAGACAGACAGACAAGAATAAGCTACTTGCAAAGGCCATTCCCCAAACAAACAAGGCCCGTCATCAAGAGAGTACAAATGAATCCATGCAGATAAATTATCACTAAGATATTGAATCCCAAGCTGCCTTGAACCACAGATATATAATGATCAGAACAGAACTTTCCAAAACAATTTTATTGTAAAAATAAAAATTATCAAAACACACTAAATAGGTAAAATCAACAATATTCAAATTGAGAACAAATCTTTGGTAGATATTTCTGGCGCTTCTCGCTTCTATTTCAATAGATTGACATGACTAAAAATGAGTACTGAAGAGGTTAATTTATTTTACCTACTTCAGGAAATCAATAACTTTCAAGAAATCAATATAAAACTTGACAGGCAAGCTAGAGTTATAAAAATTGTGTTAAATTTGGGAAGATGTGCTATAATAGCACTGCTATTCAAATATTAGCAAAAATATTTTTTTTTCGGTGGTGTTTAAGTCACGAGTTTTATTGACATGTCAGATTATTTCAGCAAATCATTGAAAAAAATCGTTAAATAAAAGAAATAATTCTTTTCTGCATAACTACTTCTGCATTCTGCATTGCTAATGAGTTTGAAATACACGTTTAAATTCTTAGTAAAACATGACCTATTTTTAAATATTTTCAACATTCTAATACTCAAACTATACTATTGTTATTCTATACAAATATAACATTATTTGTGTAATTCGAAATGGTAAATTGTACAGTTTGAACCTTCCCTGACAGCAACCCATTCCAGTAAGTAATCAAAGTTGTGATTATTATGTATCACAGACATAAATAATATTATAGAGTGTATTCGAAATAGTAGAATATTTGTTGAACGAGCCCCTATTTAAAAATATTTCCGTTTATCTTGTGATCAAAATTGTGAATTATTACGTTTTGGCCGTCCCTCCTAACCTATCACCAGAATGACAACACAGTGGCCGCTCCTGGGCCTTCAGGACCAGCAACGATCAAACGAGTTGACGTCACCCACATTAAATTAACCAAACTTGGATTTCTGTGGACGATATTTAGTAGTTTCCCACGAGACGGATCCCAAACAATAACTTTCATTTGGTCACCTGTGAAAAAATTGAAAAACTTTTTTGAAATTAAAATAAACTCTTTTTCATTATAAAGTGTTTTGTCCTGAGACAAGGCAAGGAGATGACTGTTTGAAATATTACACAATTTATACAAAGGAAACGGACGAACAGAAAGAGACCAAAATAACGACCAGCGAGCTAGCTTAACAGAAATCTAGAATGAGAAATAAGAATCCCCAGACGTCACAATATGCTATGAACAATACATTGCGCACAAATATCTACCATAAACCACTTTTAAAATTTTCAAACACATACTTGCTAAAATAGCTTCAAACGAACAGCCATTGCAGATACTATGGGTTTCTTATGGACAGAGATCTTTCTGATCCATTATATGTAATGAATTCACAATTTAAATGCAATTCTTAATTATTTCAAATCTTCTTCTATAATTAGATACACTGCTATTGATTAAGGGTTCAATACATACTAACATGATAGTTTTTGAAAGAGATTGCTGGCGATGGCGAAACAGTTACCAGTCCATGTCAGGTATAGGGTTAGCCAGTTCTTCATTTCAGATGCATAGGCTTGAGGATGGCCCTACGGCGGCGAGAAGTAAAGCAATCCTCTCACTTAATTATCCCCACAGGATTCTAATCTACGAAGCCACACAGTAAGGTAATTACCGGTAAAGGTGGAGAGGAAAACGTAATTCAACGCTTAGCACAATCGTGCTTTGTACAAACTTTTACAAAAAATAAAAATAAAGTTACGGTAATTATCTTACCAGCTGTTATTAGTGTGTTGTGCTTCAGGTACAAGCATCTGACAACGCCTATATGCCCTCGCAAATTATACAAGCTTCCGCCTGACCAACTCCATACTCTTACGGAGCTGTCCGCTGACCCGGAACAAATGACCTCATCATTGAAACTGACACAATACACATCATCTGTGTGACCTGTTAAAAAAAAGGAAGGTTTGATCAATCAAGTTTTCATCTGCTTCTGTCAGGGGCATAGCCAGGAATTTTCAAAGGATGGGCGCGGGTCTGAAATTCCTAATTGCCAAGTTAGTTCGTAACCGCTAGAGGCGGGTAACTGTGGGTTTCAAGATTCTTGAGTGTCTTAGAACATTTCGATCTCGAAAAATTGCTTTGTATGATACAAATAAACGATTTTTTTTACATTTCCATGGGGGGTTGTCCAATCTACATACCCCCACTGGGGATGCCTCTGGCTTCTACATTGTATGATGAGCATGGCATGTTTCTAGTAATAAACAAGTCAGATGTCAGATTTTCAGAGACAGAAGGTGGATGGAATTCTTTGAATAAGCGTCTGCTTTCAAACTTCTAAAGGTTTTAATCGAAATCCAAACTACAAGTTTTTCAAACAGACAATATAATAACCTGCCACCTACAACAATAACAACAGCTGTCGTGACTTTCTTCAAGATACTGGAACGGACAAATTAGAATAAGAGGTCTTCCGCACGAGACAGCTTATGCCAAAGATACCTTTACGATCAACAACATTGTATTCGGAAACTGTCATAAATTCCATGAAAAATAACAAGTCACCCAGCATGAACGGTTTAAGTAGAGAATTCTATATAACTTTCTGGGACATGATAAAACCACAATTAACTCAACTAGTTAATAATATTATAATATTCGGACATCTCCCCAAATCTTCAAAATTAGCCAAAGTAAAATTGCTATACAGAAAAGGTGACGAAACGGAACTAAAGAATTGGTATCTGATTACAACACTCAACATGGATTATAAAATAATATCAAAAATACTAGTAAAACGTTTAGAACACGTCCTGGCCCACATAATCAGCACAACCCGAAAATGTTCGTTATCAAAAAGGGACATGTCGGATATCCATTACAACACAGATGCCACATTTCGATACTGCAAAACTGAAAATATTCCCGGTAAACTGATCCTTATAGACCACCTCAACAATCTTAAAACTATTGACAATGTTAACCACCATTTCCTATTTGGCATATAGGACAAAATAGAGATTGGAAACAGATTCTTAAATATGATTAAAACATGTATTTCAGAAATAAAAGCTGCAATGATGTAAATTGAAAACTAACTCGAGAATTTATATTCGCAGCGGAATAATACAAGGCTGTTCATTGAGCATTCCAGAGTTCGTAACCATAGATGGCACGAGGTGCAAAACCTCCCTTCCTGGGGAGTCGTACATCTCTACATGCGCCAGATGTCTGCAAACTGGACACACTTAAACCAAAGTGAAAATGAAGCAGTTCGTAGGCACTGCAAAAAACAGGGGCATGTCCAAAAATACTGCACCTTCGTGAAAACTATTTTCCGGAACTGACTCAACAAAAACGTCTTTTTATACATCTACTGATGTAAATTTGGTAAACTCTAATTAAAAACAATAACGGGGGCTCCCCAAGTATGGGAACTAAGATGGCGGACATCGGAATGTAACATGTGTACTAGGTTAGGGTTAGGCCATAATTTTATCTATAAATACTACGGGAGGCTCTTGGCTAGTCTTCGAACTGATAATAGGACTAAAATAAAGAAAATTGGAAAAAAATTATCGCCTAACCCTAACCTGTTACCCATGTTACGTTCTGATGTCCGCCATCTTGGTTCGCATACTTCGGGAGCACCCAATAACTACTGTTAAGTTCAGTCATGGATAGAATGAAATTGTTTTTTCTGAATGCCAATGGCCCTCAAGCAGTGTTCGAACGATCTGGAAAATTTCATTGAAAGTGTAGATCCAAAGTGCTGTGTGTACAAGAAGCACACAGAGAAGACAAGAAGTGAGTGACTCGCTGGGCCAATGACTTGGAGTACAATATTTATTATAAGACTTCGGACAAATCTGGAAAGCACCATACCAATTTTAAGCAGGGAACTGTGATATTAGTTTAAAATAATTAAAATGAATTAATGCCATCGATGTATACTATTCATATTAACGATGTGATAGAATAGAAATTCAGGTTGATGATCATTAATCAAAGTTATTAGCGTATACACCCCGACAGTAAACGGACCGAAAAAGACTAAAATTTTAGAAAATTTGACTAAGCTGTTGGCAAAGTATTGTGGTACCCATGTAGTATAAATTCTGGGAGTATTGTATTAGATCAAGTTGACATCTCTAACTCCAAAAATTTTAAAATTCTGCCCCCAGAGAAAATATTCAAAAAATTCATTCAACATAACAACATTTTGGATACCTTTAGAAAGAAGTACACCAAAAAACAGATCTATACGTTTCTATTCGGATCACAAGCCCGTCGAATTGATAATATTTATAACTCTAAAAACTTGGACCACCCTAAATTATATGGAAGTTACGAAAAAAGAAAAGGGGATGTCAAACGTCGTCGTAGAGAATTCGTCCAGTGTTCAGCTGAGTTGTCTGAGTATTCACGCTTGTGGTACCTTCAAAAACAATAGAGTGTGGGGGGGGGATCCCGAAGTATGCGAACCAAGATGGCGGACATCGGAATGTAATATGTGTACTAGGCTAGGGTTAGGCCATAATTTTAGATATAAATACTACGGGAGGCTCTTGGCTAGTCTTCGAACTGATAATAGGACTAAAATAGGGAAAATTGGAAAAAAATTATGGCCTAACCCTAACCTGTTACGTTCCGATGTCCGCCATCTTGGTTCGCATACTTCGGGAGCATCAAAAACACAATCAGCCAGCTAGACTAAACGAAGCATCTACTGTAGGAAACACGCCGTTTCATTCACCGTCTTAAGGTAAAGCATATGTTGAGGTCATGGTGCACAATATAGAATACCGGGATTCGACAAGCTCATCTCTTTTACTGAACCATCACAGTAGATACTACGGGCTCCAGTCGAATTGGAAACAAAAACTCGGGATATATCAGATCCAAATTTTGGAAATGAATGGTAATGAATTACTCATATTGAAGGAATATGGAGGATACCTTTTCATCAGAAGCCCTTGTCAATTGATAAAAGGAAAAAAAATCAATGGGGAAAAGAAAGAATCTCTGAGTATCTTTCATTTGTCTTATTATTAAAGACCAAATTTAGATTTGCAACAATAAATAATAGTACTTATGATACCATTTGTGTTTACCAAACCAAATAGTATTTATTTACCCTTTTACCGCTCATATTAGAGTCAACTAAGGCGATGTTAAAGATAACATTCGCAAATGGTGTGCAACACTATAAACAGGATAAGAAAACTTAATAAAACTACAGAGGCCTAATGTACTGTATGTGCAGGAAGTTCATAGGCTCAATAGTATAATTTTATAAAACTAGAGATTGTGACAACACAGCTGTTTGCCACCTTGTGCAACACATAAAACAATCGTCTCGTGCCTTGAATGAACTAAGAACAACGTACAATGCCCTAGTGATGGAACAGCCAAATTTCATAACGAGTTGTCCCACTCGCCGGGACTCCACATACGACATGATAGAAAGACTGTTCTTATCAGTGGTCCATGAGACAATATCTGTCAACCATTCATCGTGATCTCGCTGCCAGATTTAAACTCTGCGACGCTCATTGGCTGATAATTCAGAAGCTTTAGCTCCTATAAAAACCCTAACCAAGTTCCTCAAGGGCGACAAATATTTTTCCCTGTACCCTGTCATCAGTATGCCCAATACTTAGAGTTTGTGCATTAAATATGAAGAAATAAATGATACTGATAAAGCCTTTAAGCGAAACTTCAGGATTAATATGACCTCATCATTAGGGCTGTCCAAAATCGAATAATTTTTTGATTCGAATCGAATCGAATATTTTCGCCGAATCGAACCGAATATTATTGCGCAATATTAAATCTATCTCTATTATACAATAAACGCCTGCCCTTCGATGTTGTGGTAACATATGTGCAGTTACATCTTACTTACTGCTGGTATTTTGCAATACAATGTTTTCAGATTTATGAAAGGAGATCACACGCTTATGAACTGGTCAAAAAAAATTGGAGGACTCCAAAATTTGGGTCTCGAAAACTGTTGAAAATTGCACTATTCAAAAATTGCAATCTCAATTTTGATGGATTCAGTTTTAATAGGACATGTAAAGCCTGTAGATGCTATTTTAATCCTATTCACTAGTCTTATGTTTTTTTGTGTAAATTTCAGCAAAATAATAACAGCCATCAATATAGATAAAACTGCTGCTAAAGTTCAAAATTGCATTTAAAATTTCCAAGCTAGTTTGAGGACAATATTATTTGACGACCATAATATTGTTAGTGTACAACAGCCATCAAAATGCAAGAGTGCAATTATTTGTCTTGGTATATAGATGGATAATACAGTAATGCCATCATAAGAAATTACAAATTCCATTCAAAGACGGTATTGCCATCATAAGGATCCCAAAACACCTGTTTCAGCTTTGAGTTGCCTGTACCATGTTCCTATGATAACTAACTCAACAGCTTCAAATCGATTCTATTTATAGAACTATCGTTTTCTAAATTGTCTCCTTTTTCTCCTTGTTCTCTCTCAAAAACGTCATGACCACTTATACCTTGTTATGATGACCATGCATGAAATGGCTAATCACGTGCCACCGGGCGGGCATTAGTAATGACATGTTTATCACAAAATGAAGGCGAGAGAAATATCGGGAAACCAATTAAGCCGGGAGCAAGAGTGGTCTGAGCTCGAAGCGACGCCGCTTGCCCGATGAAAAACATCCCGTAAAGGTGGTTTCCGCTTTATGTACAGGTACCTAATTTTAGCGATTCGAAAATTAGCCGAAAAACGATTCGAATAATTTGAGATTCGATTCGATTTCGAATATTTGGTTCGCTTGGACAGCCCTACTCATCATTGAGAGAAAGGTACTCCAATGTAGCTAAATATAATTAGAGGCATGTATGAGGGCATAAAAAGCGTCATAGATGTGAATGGAAGGCTGTCTAACGAAGTT